AGAGAGAGAGAGAGAGAGAGAGAGAGAGAGAGAGAGAGAGAGAGAGAGAGAGAGAGAGAGAGAGAGAGAGAGAGAGAGGACTATATAGGAGCTGCGGCCTGCCGCCTACATTGCTGTTTCTCTCTCTCTGATACACGCTCCACTTCCCTCCTCTTCCCCTTCTCCGTCCTCCCTCCCCTCATGTAGAACTCCTCCCCCTCCCCCCTTTCCTTCCTCCCTCCCCTTGTGTCGCACTATCAAATGCATACGGATGAGCATGATTAAGAGAACAGACAAAAACTAACTTGGCAAAAATCAGAGAAAATTTGGTTCGGGATGGTGCGCAAGATCACGCTTTGGGCCATTTGGAAGGAAAGGTGCAGCAGAACACTGGAAGGCACGAAGAACCCACGGGAGAAAGTGTGGGTGGCAACCAAAGAGATGATTGAAGAGGAAATCCTATGTCAATGGAGGAAGGTGAAACTCCGGGTGCAAAACAGTCCAGAGACAGAACAGGTGACACTTGCCAAATTCAGACGGGTCTGGTTGGTTGATGACAAAGTGGCTTGCCTAAATGGGCATGCTTTAAGATGGAAAGAGTGGCACAACTCTGTCAAGTCCGTAGGCCAGATGATTACTCAGGTACATGAGGATTCCTCTCCAATCTGGGCCTAGATGAACATCCGAGAGACACTTATGGCAGGCGACAGCAGAGTTTTCACAAGGAATAGATGGAAAAATAGATTAAGGCGGTCTAGGGTTTAGGAGCAGGCTAGGAACAGAAACAAGATAAGCAGGGAGCAGAAGAATAGAGATTAAAAAAAGAGGGGTTTAGGGCTCAAAGATTCAAGGGATTTAGATAGGGTTTGGGGTTCAAGTGTGGCTTGTTAAAAGCATGAGTAGGAGAGCAACAGTGGTAGTCCTGACATAGAGCCTTCATAATTAGGAAAAGATACACAAGATTACCTAGGTTCTAGGGTTTATGAATTAGGAGTCTCGTTAAAACTATAGCTGAGGGTTTAGGGTTTAGGGTTTTAGACAATAAAGGCAAATAGGGTTCAGACTGGTAGGGATCTCATGAGGCACATGGGCGGCGATCAGAGTCTAGACAGAATTGGCAGCCTTTGTAGCGTCCGGGCCCTTTCTTGCCATTTATGTTCTATCTGACAGGCCATTATAGTGGACCTGAGAGGAAAGGGAAAAGCATGGCAAGCTGACAGTCAATCCTCCACGATGCTGGAGTAATCAATGCTGGTCAGGGTTCCTTCAGCCAGATGGAAGGAAGCGTATGTGGGTTCATGATGTAATATTTATTCTGACTTGCCGGTGGAATAGGAACCGGACTGATGCTCCCCAGAATGGAAATGGAGCCAGGACCATAAGGACCTGTTTTTTGTATTTAAAAAAAAAAAGAAAAAAGAACAGTATACCTCCCCATTACTCTGCCTCCTTTCATAGTGTGCAACCGGGTCGTTATGGCACACGGTAATGTGGGTAGCTCGTGCTCAAACATAATCCACGTACTGGGTCTTGTACATCAGAGGCACAGTAAAAGTAGAGCTGCGAGAAGAAATGTACGTTATGAATGGCTGACTGCTATTTCTCTTCAGGTGGATGCAGCTGGAAGATAACGCATGGCTTATGGATGATGCATTGGAATCAACGAAGAGGAAGTTCACCGAGATCACTGGGAAAGAGGTAATTCTTTTCTTTTCCCCTTGTTTTTTTTGTTTTGTTTTGTAACCCCTCGGAAGACCCCCATCCATCCTTCCTCTGATCAATTACCCCGATGCACCCCCACCCCCTCTGTCCTACCTTAGTGTGGACCACCCAGGACCATCACCCATTGCCAACTCAGCTAGGTGACATGACCAGACAGCAGTTGCAGGCACCCGTGCTGAACGGGGGACCCCTCCTTTCCCAATCAGCACTGGTTGAAGCGGACACCGTGCAAGCCTTGTTGCACGGGTACTTCGGGAGCTAGGTGTGAATGTGCGACTACAGGCCTTCCAGAGGGGGTTCAAACTCCCTGTGTGTCCCCCAATTGTTATGACCTGGGCCCGAGATATGAGTCGAACTATAGCCTACCTTCTTCCACCGAATACGTTGTACAACATTATAGCTGTATTTGAGGCATCTTTCAGTCTAGATACCACTATAATGACCGTACATTGTATTCGGGAGAAAAAGGTAGATATCACGGGCAGTGATAATGGCCCGTCCCTAGCCAGGGTCTAACCCCATGATATCCCCTCGAGAAGCCCAGATGACCTACCTAGTGATGCGGTTATTATGGTTATTCTGAACATTATTTGATTGGACGCCAGACTTTTGGGGTTCTAGCCTCTGTCATTAGTGGGGTCTACGGTTCATGCATCCATTACCTCACCTCGGTCATGAGCTAGATCCCTCGCTAGTTGTTATAGGGTAGTAAACGGCCCTTAGTCTCCGTCATTAGTGTGTACTAGGCCACCATCCGTTCCATTACTTCCATCATGAACTAGGGCTGCTGTTTAGAATCTTGTATTAGGATGGGGGACAGACAATCCTATCTCGGATAGGATCCCCTTCAGACAGCCCCTACAGCAGGTTCCCCAACGATCTCCTCCACCAGAGCCTTTCTACTAACACCCTCCTACAGGGATCCCTAAGACAAGCCCCACTTTAGGATCCCCCCCCGTTATCCACCAGCAGAGCTCTTCCCAACCAACCCACCCCCCCAAGTAGGACCCCATCATTCCACCAAGGGCCCTTGCCCCCCCAAAGCAGAGCCCTAATCCTACCTGCATCCCCTACCATAGCCATCGAATATACTCAACCCAGCCCAAGCAGATCTGGACCTGCAACCTTGACGACACAGCTACTATAACACCTGCTCTGTTTGTGCGCTGTTCTAGACTGGAGGACAAGTACGTGGGGTGCCAAACCAGCACCAACCAATTATGTGCAGGGGAAACTAAGGGCCGACAGAATCGAACCTTCAACCTCCCCGTTGCCACGCCGAAGCTCCACCCACTGAGCTACCACGTACTTTCTTACAAACTGGCTGTCTTGAAGGTAAGATGCCAAGCATGCCATTGGCAGTGTCGTGGGGACAGTGGAAGTTGAACCCACGACCTCCCGAGTGCCGCTTGAGCCCCTTACCAACTGAGCTACACCCAGCTGGTAGAAAGAGAAAGAGGTAATTCTTAAGTAACTGGTGAAGACTTGTCCCGGAAACTCCGAAGTAGCATCCCATCAGCTATGCCGCTGTCGGCGCGAATACCCTTACAAAGGTATCCGCCCTGGTTAGTGACAGAAAAGGGTTTTCGGTTTGAAAGTTAGGGACGTTGTGCGAGTCGCGGCTGAATTTCCTTTTGTGACTAAGAATGTGAGACTGTTTGAAGGGAGTAGGAAGTGCGTGAGGCGTGCGTGATCTTTTCTTTTTGATATTACAAGATCGGCACGGTTGCCGACCAACCTTTGATTTTGATTTAATCAGGACTAAATGATCTTTTTCTCTTCATCGGCGAAATTGTTTATTGGCCCGTACGCAAGTACGGAGGCTGGCACAGATAAAAGTTCGAGCTTTCTACCGCTAGGAAGGAAAAGGCGCGGCCTTGAGGAAAGGGGTGGTGCGCACGGCGGTTGTGAGCGGAGCCGAGCTCTTTGTATTGTGAGTGACTGTGCCTCGGAGGCCATGGGTGGGGTTGCAGACCAAGGTATGGGCTTGGGGCGCTTTGGTAGGCATGCGGGCGGCATAGAGACCACTTATAACTTAACTCGCGGTTATTAGTCCCAATCTTGGGCCTAGCCCTATAGGTTACGACTTTGGACTGATACTATGAAGACCCGGGGATCAAGGCCAGCAGCCAGCAACGTTGGAGCGGAGGAGCGTTTTGCGAAGAAAAACTGAGGGGTTGAGGGTCCCACGGGGCTATCCCCATTAGTTTTACCATAGAGTCCGATCGCGGACCCGACGGACAGGACCGAAAGGGGACCAACAGTATCCTCTCTCTCCTGCTCGATTAATTCCTCTTGTTATTTTATTTTTAGTATAGTTGCCTTTTATTTTTATTTCTATTCCAGCTTGTGATCCGGTACCGGTTCCGGTACCAGCGTGGGACCCAAGGGCTTAGCTGAGTGGGTACACCCATTGAACTACTGAAATACAGACCCGTGTTCGGGCCTAGGTGACGAAACTTGATGAGTAAAACCGAATATTTCTGAGTTGACCAGGGACTGCCAACTTGATACTGATACCTCCAGCCACTGTGCGTGGCGCGGTCCTTCGGGACATCTGTTAGAATTAGAACGATACAGGGAAATAGCACGGGTGCAGTGGCAAAAACTCGCTATAAACAGAGGAAGGCCGACGCTAGGAGAGATAGACGGTTTGCCTTGGGTCAAAGTGTTGTCGGGTCGTCCGCTGAAAGTAGCGTTGTCAAAATTTGGGACTGCGTTGAGTCGAAGAAGGGAGAGGCGAAGGTGAGAGAAAATGAGGACAGGGAGTTGACGAGCGAGGAGAAGGAAGATAAGAGAGACAAAGTGGAGGGGAGTGAAGAAGGTTTGAGGCGGAGGGAGTGCCCGTCGGAGCCGCCATTACTTGAGGAAGCAAAATCATACGCGAGAAAGTGGTCGGCCTCGGAGGGTGCACGTTCGCTTTCATAATTGCGATTACGCTCGTCTCAGAGCGTGACTAAACTCGCCTCCAGGGCGATGTCAACGGTAGAATCCATTTTACAAAAGAGAGAGAGACTCCGGATCCAGATCGTACGTAGTAGTTGCCATTGTTAGGGTGGTGAGTGCACCTTCCCACGATCTTGGGGAAGATTCATCCTCGTTTTGCACGCTTGGAGAATAGTGGGACGTGGCAGCTAGTCGAGCGTTCCGGTCGTCATCAGGGTCTCCTTTAATGCAGGGGTTGCAGGCTTCATCGTCGTCATCAAAATCAAGGTACTCGTCGTCGTCATCACCGTTACGATAGAGGTCACCATCACCTTCGTCGTGCATCCCTCCGGCTTCACGTTGCAGCAGCTTCTTTCGCCTTCATGCTTATGGTGTTGTCCCCCACCCTCATGCCGTCATCACTATGATCTTCATGATCGATCCCGTTATCAGGACCTTGGGTGTGACAGTGAAGCGTCGGAGGGCGGATCTTCGCGTTCACGAGGTGATGCAACCGGTCGAGTTCGAGCGGAGGATACATTCGATTTTGCTTATTCTATAGGTGGAGGATTGAGGCCAGCCACGGAGTTGGAGACTTACCTTTTGGCGGTCGCATTTCTTGTCGTTAGGTTCTTGTAGTGCTGCTTCTCGCCTCCGTGCTCTTCGTTACATCGATCTACGGGATCATGTTGGTCTGTGGGGCCTCGGTTGGGACAGTGCGGCATCGTGGGGATTTTTGTATTCGCGGGGGAAAGCATCCAGCCATCGCCTAACAGAAGATCCATCCTCATTTTGCGCAAGTGGTACGGGCTGTCGCGCTGTTATTCGTCCTCGTTGGTGCGACGTCGGCCTTGCTCCATCCGAGTAATCGCCTTGTTCGTACTGGCCGCTACGTACATTGTGCCCGACTTCATCGCTGTACTGACCCTAGTGGTGTTCTTACTTGGGTTTGTGCGATTCGTTACGGTAAGTGTTGGCTACGCCGCCCCCCGCCATTGGGATTCATCATCAGAGGTCGTAATTAGGTGATTATGGCCGGGTGCATTCGAATGTAACGGTTGCAGGATCACGAGAGAGAGAGAGAGGAAGAGCGGCGATCTAACTCGGAGGACTAGCAATACGGATGAATCAAGAGTCGCGTTGCAGAGGTGAGCTCCGCATTAGCATGATGTTTAAGCCTTAAGGTAGCAGTGTATCTTCGCATGTTCTAGTGGAGGATTCACTCGTATACAGTGCATCTGGTGAGTAAGCCATGTGGCACGAATCTATCCGCGATTTAACGGAAGATTCGTTCTCGGTCTTTTGGGGGGTGTTATGGCGGGCGACCTTTCCTACGTGCGCTCGGCCACCGTCGCATTCCTCGTGCATTACTGATTATCGGGATCTTCAGCGTAGGTTTGTTTCTTGTAGTTGCACCCTGTGTCGCAGTCGAGTTGCCTATCGGGCCCTTCCCATCATAGTCGTCGTAGTGGTGTAACCATCGAGGTCCGGGCCTGGCTTATTGAGATGATCCCGCCCATTTGGCGGTGCAGATTCCCATGTCTGGCGGAACACCCATTTTTATACGCTAGTGGCAGACACAGCGAGGGGAGAAAAACGGAGTGTAGGAGGTAGTGAGAAAGAACGAAAAAGGAGAAGGTAGTTAGGCGGAAGGAAAAAGAAATAGAGGGAGAGTGACGACGTATGGAGATTTGAACTAAAGTAACACAATTATTAGTAGATCTAACGCAAGTATCCTGAGGGAGCTCAACAAAAGCCGAGATCTTCTGTAGAACAGAGCACGGGGGGGGGTGCAAAGGCTCATCCGAACCTGACTTTGGTGCGAACACAAACTGTGAGAGCGTAGCCTACCGATTCTTTAGCATTTCAGGATTTGAAGTTGGAGGCGTTAGGAGCTCTTCTGGATCTGATCTTCAGTACGAAATACAAGACAAAGACGTACTTTGCCTTGACGATGGTCAGCATACTCGACACCTGCATGTACTTTTGCGCCTACTGTTTGGTCAACAGCTGCCTGAACCTCGGTTACTGCAAGTTCTACTGCCTCGTTT